TTACTACAACTATCATTTCTAGTTTGTAAAAATTACTTATTTTTTTATATTCATGATCTTCATGTTAAAGATCACATGTCCTTAAAATTAAGTCCTAAAATCCATCTCAAAAATGGATTTATTAATAGGCCAGCATTTCTACTTATGCGGGCTTGGCCGCATAGAAACCGGTCCTTACTTTTTACACAAGGTGGTCGTAATTACTTACAATCATTCGATATGAAATTTGATAGCTTGGATGTGTCACAAAGTTCGAAAAAATTTATTTTGAAGTTTAAGTTGGTCAATAGAATAAATGCAACCACCCATCCAATGGTCAAGATTAATGTAATCACCTTGTACAGGAAGTAAATGGTCTCATTCTATACTTTCCCTTTCTTATTAGAGTATTTTATTTAGGGGTGCGGTTTGTATAGAGCCGAGGCTCAAAACAATCAAATTAGAGCCTACCTTCAAAAGGTGATGAGAAATGTGGTTTCAATTCTAGAAATCTTTGTGATAGCCTTAAAATATATTCTCATCTTTAATTATAAAATCTAAAGCTTAAAAAATAGTATAGATCGAGTAGATTTATGAAAAATTGAAAATCTTAAAAATTGACGGTCCAAAAATACGTTACAAGATGCACTATTTCTAATACTTGAAATCCATTTTTTTCTCATGTCCATGCATCTTAACGTCTAGATGATCAATTTGAAGATATTTGAGCATCAAAACAACTTTTTTTAGTGAAATTTTTTAGGTAGGCTTTAATTTGACTGTTTAGAGCCTCGGCTCTATATAAACTTTTTCATTTATTTAGTTAAAGTCTTTAAAATCTAATCCTAGTTAAATTAAAGTTTTGGATGATAATTGTCTACTGGTGAGGATTACATGCATCATGAAAGGTCAATTTCTCAAACGTTTTAATAAAGAGTGGCCCAATACGAGTACGTCAGTTGTGACGAACATGATATGCTCAAAGTAAAATTGTGGTACTTCCAACGTGCCCCTAATCCTTTCATTAATGAATTATATAAGGAAAACTTTATATATGGTCGCAACTTTAAAATGTCTAATCAAAGTGCAACTCAAATCATCATAAATGTTCTTTTTATGTTGGAAAGCCCTCTAACTATGGTCATCTAGACATCAAGTGTCAAAAGATAAAGATTTCGAGTCGCAAAAATAGTGCATCTTGCAACGTATTACTAGACCGTCTATTTTTAAGATTTTCATGTGTGTATAGATCTACTTGATTTGAACAATTTTGAAGTTTACAATTTTATAATTAGAGATAAAAATGGATTATAAGGCTATCTTAAGAATATTTTACACCAAAATTATATCTTATGATAAATTTGGAGATGCAACTTATTTGAATTGTTTAAGGTTGCAGTCTCATATTAACCACGTCCATCATATAATGAAATCATAATTCAATGTTAGATGATGATGATGATTTAAATCATTATCATAAACCAAGTCTTATTCTAACTATTTTGAGTTGACTACTTGAATCTTATTCCACCATTCCATTTTTATCAAAAGCCATGTCCTCGGTAAGACTATAGGTCACTATATCTCTTCTTATTAGTTACATCCCTATCTTTTTACGGCTTCACGTTGCCCTTTTAGAGCTTTCCACTTAAATCAAATCACCTCTTCTAACTAATGTTGTTCTATATCGATGTTTCACATGGCTAGACCATCTAATTCTATTTTCTCCCATCTTATCACCTATTGGAGCCACCCTTAAGTTCTCTCGGATGTACTCATTATGAACTTCATCATCTCAGCTATGCTCATTTTATGAATATGTTGCTTCTTGACCATCAACATTCCATCACATAAAACATGGCGCGACATCTTCATCAGTCTCTTCATTTTCATGGATTATCGATGCAAGATATCGAAAATACTCCCTTTTAGTTACTTATTGGTTATCAATCTAAAATAGTTGCTCATTTTTACTCATATTGTTACTACACTTGCCATCCAAATATTTTATCTTAATCTTGCTAATCTTAAAACCTTTTGATACTGGAGCATCCCTATAAAGTCGTAACTTTGTGTTAATGCCATCACTAATCCAATCAATCAAAATTATGTCATTCACAAACACCATACTTCTTCCTATAGATGCATAATTAACTCGTCCAACCAAAACAAAGAGATATAGGCTCAACACTGACCCCTGATGTGGGCCTACTGGGTCACTATAATTTACTTACCACCCCATTAGTCATCCTCGCACTAGTTAGCGCTCCTTCATATACGTCTCACCAGGCCAATACATCCTCTAGATATTCCTTTCTTTTTCAACATCCTCCAATTAACTCTCTAGGTGCCCTATCGTATGTTATCTCTAAATTAGTTTATTTATTTTTCTTGATTTTCTAGTTATATTTACGTTGTGAAACTTTAAAAAGTAAGAAACGTTACATAGGGACTTGAAAAAAGATGCATTATTACTGTATCATTCATATTTTAGGTTATATAAGCTTTTAGTTCCTTTTTTTTTATTTTTTATTTTACAAGTCGAACTTTTGAACAACCAAAATATAGAAAGATTGATATATTTGAGCACACCTAAAACACAAAAAAAAAAAAACAAAAAACAAAAAAAGCAAGAAAAAATAAGTAAGTGTTGAGCTGGATCAAAATTGGTCTTTCGAATGATCCAAGTGCATCATTTTTTAGTGTTTTTTGTGGTTTGAAAGTCAGAATTTTGAACATGGGAGTTAAAAAAAATTAAAAAAAAAAATTATCTCAATATAATATAGCTCAAAATATTGAACATGCATAATATTGTGTCTTTTTTCACCTCTAGTTATAAAATTTCAAAAATTGTACACTTTATACCCCATATGTATAATGCTAGCAGGATGGGAGTTGGGTCCAAGACCAATGGTGGTACATATGCAATATTAGTTTCTTACTTCATAGCTTTTTGTCATCCTATTAAATCTACATTGTAAAGAAGACTCCCCATACTGTAACCATGCAATCACATCCACTTTGACCCAGCTTGAAAACTCTTCGACCTCAGCTTCTAACCATTGACCTAATGATCTGATTGTGCCAAAGTTTGCAGACAAAGCCCACAAGATAACTGAAGTCAAGGGACAAAATAGAAGAGGGTACGGCACATCTTCTTCCTCCTGTACCTTATCAAATACATTTTACCTGAAGTCTCCAAAAGAGCCAGAAAAATATATCATTGTCAGAGCTCAGGGGTCCCAAAAGACTCATTTCTTTTCCTTGAGAAACACCCCATAAGAGAAGAAGACCAGCAGATTTTATCCCTCATCAATTTTACCCCCCTGGACTGTTGAGGCTCATGGAAGCCAACCCATTTGTAAGGTACTCTTAATTCTTCCTTCATCCCTCGAGTAACAATGGGTCGGGTGGCCCGGCTGGCCTAGCCAACCCAACCATAAAACACTAACGCCTGAGCCATAAAATGTGGCCCACGGCCCGGCAACCACGGTCTGAGGGCTGGGCCAAAGCCAATCTTATTTGGCACCCCTCGGCCTAGACCCGACCCTCTTTTTCTTTATTTTTTTTTTATTTTGTCCAAACCCAGCCCTGCCCTGATAGGGCCAGACTGGGGCTAGGGGCAGCTCGGCCCAGTCCGGGCACATTGCCAACCCTACTGAGTGAAGCAAAATTACTCAAATCCACATAGGAATATCACTCGTAGGTTTTGTCCAAGCAGTACCAGAAGGCTTGCACTGACATACCAGTGGCTAGCCATGTCGCTTCCGGTCATTGGGAAAGGACAATAGTAGAAGACCCAAGTCGCTTGACCTTCAGGGAGAGAGCAAGTTGGAAAAATCGGCTGTTCTAACAGGTAATCGCCTGATTGGATCGGAACCGGCCATTTTTTAGCTGGTTTTGATGACCGGCCAAGCATTTTTGATAAAAAAATATATAAAATCTAAAAAAATAAGAGATTTTATTTGTAATGTAGTTTTTAATTTTTTTCATCAAAAAATTGGAAATTGTTTTGACCATTAATATGAATTTTTTATATTTTCCCATCTCTTTGGAAAATTACGTTTTCCCATCTCTTTTGGAAAATAATTTCAAAAATACCTCGGGGTGCAAGTCGATTATTTAAAATTCATTTTTTTCATTAATTTTCAATTTCATTTGGATGTATTTTGTTTAATCATTCTTTAAATATACTTTTTATAGTTTATTAGATTTTTTGTATTTTTTTTATTTTTTTTAGCACTTCTTTTACTACCCGAGACTTGCCTTATTAAAACGGTTGAACCAATTGAACCGTGTCCGATTAACCGTTCCGGTTCGACTAATAGATATAACTCAAGAAAAGGTGAAAATAGATAAGGGAAAAGTTTATATAGAGCCTAGGCTCTAAACAATCAAATTAAAACCAATCTCAAAACTTTCACCAGAAGAGGTTGTTTTGATACCCAGATATCATCAAATTGATCATCTTGACGTCAAGATGCATTGACATGAGAAAAAAATAGATTTCTAATTTAAGAAATAGTACATTTATAACACATTTTCGATCGTTAATTTTCAAAATTTTCAAGTTTTCATAAATCCGCTCGATCTATATTCTTTTTTGAGCTTTAAATTTTATAACTAAAAATAAAAATATAATTTAAAGCAACCACAACACTTTCCGATATTAAAACTATATTTCTCAACACAGGTGGGCCCCAATTTGAATGTTTAGAACCTTTGGCTCTATACAAACCGCACCCAATAGATAAGGCTCAAGAAAAGGCTCATTAAAGATCGGATAAAACATCCTCATCATCAGAAATAGGAGTAAGAAGTGTAGCCATTTGTTAAATTTCAATGAGAGAATAGCTTCCATGGGGATCTTAGGTCACCATGCAAGTGTTTGGAAGTTGGAAGTATGGGAATCTTAGGTTACCATGCAAGTGTTTGGAAGTCCCAAATTTGGTTTCATTTATTGTCTAAACAAAGTAGGTTTTATTCTAATCTAAGCACACGACCTCCAAACAACACAGTAATACATGACAATTAATCGCCATTAAATACATAATATTGGCCACAAGCTCGTTGAAAAAGCATTCCACTACAAGCATTATGTAAACAAAACTGTACATGGGTTCGGCTTCTTGGAGGGCACGCATCCAAGGCTCGAAGAACTCCCGACTCCCGACTCCCGACTAAACCATGTAAGGAACAGAAAAATTTACAGAATCTAAAATGTAATCTTTAAGGTTGTTCACTGCACAATGCACAGCACAGTGAAGCATTATGGTTATCATGTCATAAAACAACAGAGGTCAATGAATTTGATTAGGCGAAGAAAACCTTGACAAAGATGAGAACCGTGACGAGCAGTATTGCAAAGACAGATAGAGCCACAGCACGACCAATCTTCAAGGATTTTGGTATTCGCAATCGATTGGGTTTAGTGACGCCTCTACTTGAGTTAGTGTCGATTTCTTCTACATTGACATTCAGGGCGCCTAGTCTTTGCTCCACCATGCCTCTCTTGTTGCTGCTTTCTGCGTCAGAATGAGGTTCATGTATCATTCTAGACATGGGCCGCATGTATGTCTCACGAACTTTTCCCTCCTCCGAAGGACCAGAACCCATGGCCCTCGTTGGGCTTCTACGAAGAACTTTCTTCTTGGGCCGACGACGCGCCAGTTGGGCAACACGTGGGTAGCTTTCATGTTGCAGACCTTCCTCAACTTCTGCACCTTGAAACTGTATAACTGGAGGAGTATCTATCTCTGCATTTCAAGTAACGGCCCAGTTAGACACTACTCTACCAGGAAAAGCTGACAATGCTAAAAAGAAGAGTCACGTCTTTTGATTTACCAAAATAGCCAACTACTCTGTCAAGCAAAACTTTATCTCAGGGAACTCATTTGGGGAAATTGAAAAGGCTAACATAAGAAACACCATTCTGGATCAAGGATTCATCTCAGGTTAAACAAGATTTGTTTAGTTTACAATTTGTGGCACCTATATATGCACAATCTCTTTGAAGTGTGCATAAAAACTAGGGTTTAACAATAAAAATACAACAAACTAGACATGGCATTAGTCCCTCCTTTGTTAAAATGAATGTTCTGATTTGGAGAGTACCAGTCTTATACTCCAAGCCCTGGAGCACAGCTCTCACCGTGCCTCTATCCTTCTCTCTCTCCTGCACAGTGAATTAGAACACAAAATTAAGCAACATAAGGATATGAATCTTAACCCTAAAATCATTTCCAGTGAATAACCATCCTGAAAAGATAGAAACAGTTTCAATTGAAGTACAGCGGGGATCTTCAGATCCTTTCTAATTCGTTGATTTCATCATAGGGTAAGTAGGATGCATTGGACAGTGGAAATCTGCAGCCATAGCTCATCACAATCGTCCAATGAAATGGACAGCGAGTAGGATCCAGCATTGGGGGAAGCCAAAATCCTGATTGGTTGTGCCCCTTTCTCGCTCCATCATCCCCACATTATTTCTTTATTGGAACTTTTAACGTTCATCACCCCACATTATTTCATTGGTTGGTGATGACCCAACTGTCCATTGAGTATATAATAGTTCAATAAATACTTGGATTAAAGAATACATTCACCAAGAAACAGACACCAAGTTGAACTTAGGCATGTACAGACCCTTCACCTTCTCTGTCGTCTTTAGAACTCCCCCTTGTATACATGTGTTTGCAAACCCTCCCCAGGGCGGCTCCAATGATTTTATGCATGGAAAACGAAATATAATCCAATGGATTATGGAAGATGATAGCCATAGTTCTTTATCATCAATGTCTCATGAAATGATGGACGGTGATGAAGAAAGAGCAGGACCCACCTCAGGGCCACTTCCTGTTAGGTGTGCTACACACTCTCTCCATCACTGCCCATTTCACTGGACAGTGACAACCACATCATTGTCCATTGGATTTTCCAACTGAAGCCCCTGATCTCCTCTCGTGTTTCAAAGGCTTTCCCCTAAATGCCCACTGTTTGCGGGCCAATCCACCTTGGTGCAGTTCTAGTGATCTGCGGATGAGAGAGTATACTATGATCCAATGGACTACAAATAACCTTGGCGATAGTTCCTTGCACTATCATCCAATGAAATGATGCGGCGAGTTATGAAAAGAGAGGTGGATCCACCTCTGGGATTGTTTCCTGTTCAGGTAGGGTCTATTCACCGTCCATCGCCATCCATCATTTCACTAGACATAGTACATAATGGACAATAACAGAGTCCACGATCATAGTATACTTTCCCAGAGAAAAGACAAATTTCAATTGAAAAGTTTGTAAAGGTTCTTCACCTCCTCTTCTTCTGCCTCGTGGAGCGCTCCTCCAATACTTTGCATTTGTAGGCAAATCCTCCTCGATGCGGTGCCCTGGAATGGCAAAACGGGTGGGTTGTACCTAGGACCAGGTTGACGCTCCCTTCTCACAATTCCAGACTGAGAATGACCTATTTTTAATGAAGGATTATGACCACCATCCCATTCTCGCACATGACCTTCTTCATCAAAATTAAAAAGATCATCAAAAAATTCAGTACTTGGGACAGAAGAGGGGTTATGCAGGTTAACAACACCTAACCCATCCAAGTCCCCTGTGCTCGCTTCGAAACCCTCACCATCAAATGTGCCAGGGTTACTACAAAAGCTTGATGACGGAGGCATGTGAATTGCTTTTTCGAGAGCAAGTGGCTCGTAGTCGAGCACGCGAAACAAATCTGAGGCTTCCTGCGCTTCATCACCCTGGAGAAAGAGAACAAGTTTTTCTATTACCAGTAGAACTGTATCATGTCAATTTAGTTCAGAAAGCAGTAAAGAGGATTTGGTGACAAGATAAATGAAGAGATTCCTATATATGAAACTAGTCCAACCACATTAAGAATAAAAATTGAAAACAGGAACTGATCCAAGAAAGAAAAGTTAAAATAAATATCAAGAAACTACCTCATATACTGTACTTTGAAGAAAGAACTCTATCCTGAACTAACTGCATGACTATCATAGAATATAGGGATAACTAAAATGCCAAGTCATTTGGAATAGGAAAACTGCGAGATAGGAGAAGCATTTCATACAGAAATCACAATTAGAGAACTCATATAGGTGAAGAATACCTGTCCTTTATTAAGTATAGATACAGAGGTTGAGACAGCCATTACATTCCATTAAAAAATTAAGCATTTACCCAGGATAGTGGTTTTTCTCATTTTCTTCGACATTTTCATGGAACTAGTAGTCAACATGGCTCAATTTTCTCCTCCTCAAATCCTCATTACAAGATAAGAGTGCCAAGTACATTTATGACTTTTCAAAAATAAAAGATAGGCCATTATCCATTGGAAATTTGGAACCAAACAGGGCCATTTGAATGATCGAAACATCCTTATCAACCACGAATCTTTTCTTGAAAAACAAAATAATAACAAAATAAAAGGATTCTCATCTTTTCAGTGGGTAAGTGTACTACGGAACATGGAAAACAGTGGCAAAATGGGTGGTGATGAAGAGAGAGTATACCATGATCCTAATGGTGCTTTCCAAATTCTCTCCATCACCAATAACCATTTAAATAGCCAGTGACAGGGTGTGGACCATTGGAAACCCAATGGATTTAGTATATACTTTCCATTGTCCAATGGACTACACTTCCTTCCATTCACTACCACAATTATATCTCCACATTCTCAAACAAATGGACTTGCCTTCTGAAAGTACATTACAAGAAGAGACAATCACGAACCTTATAGTGCTGCTCGCTCTCAATTGGTTGGAGAGAATCATCAGCAGCCAAAAACTCCTCCAAAAGATTATTTAAATAATCTGAATCTGTCATTTCAGGTGATGAAGTGTCTTGCACATTTGTCTCAACTTTCAACTTTGAGGTCTGATCTAATTGCTCTCCATGGTCTCCATTGATCACCGCCCCACCAGGAGAAGACTTGCTAGGGTCAGGCGATAAGTCACTCCGCTCCACCACATCATAGCTTGGATCATTGCCCTTCTCATTCAAACCATCCTTCTTGAATAGGCGGCAGAGGACATAGGCATCCTGCAAACCAAGAACACCTCAGCACATTGGCGAAAAACATGGCATATGAACGGTAATATGCTTGTTGTAGCCATACTTGTAAACTCAATAGGGTAAAAAAGAAGGAGAAGAGAGCTGTTATACATTTCAGACGATCCCCAACTGGGGTATAGTCATTATAATAATCACCCCAAAGACAACATACCAAAAATGCATAACAACAATACCCAATTACCCAATTTTATCAACCTTAAGAGTAGTCTAATTCGCTCTAGTGATCTCTCCATTTTGGCACGGGAAGAGAAATGCTGTTGGAGAAAGCCTTCAGGTACTAAAAGTAAAATTCACAACATTTCATGTAACATGGATTTTTGGTCGAATCAGTCTCAGTTGGAAGAAACTTCACTATACTTTAGGGTTGGAGGAAGAAAGGAATTATTTTCTTTGTTTGGAGAGAGAACCAGGGAGGGGGGGGGGTGTGGTGGTGTGGGTGTTGGGGGGGGGTTGAGTTTTGAAGATCAGGGTGGTTACAAAGCAGAAGTCTTCAGTCTCTTTGATATAAGCTAAGAAAAACTAAAACGATTGGTTCGCAGGAATTTGCCTGGTTCTTTAGGAATGACTGGAAATTACAGCCAAGGTTTTCCTTTTTCCACATTTTCAAACTTAACATGTATCCAGATAATAATTGTGAAAGGATTTGGAATCCAGTATGCAAAAAAAATCATAGATGTGCATAACTACTTGTAGAACACAAAAAACTGTAGTCCCTAGAAACAAATTTATTTTCCAGTCTTATTATCTACTAGCATGATGGCTAATTTCATCTAGAAGGTTGCCAAAATTAACAACTCCAATTTCAACAGTTAGGAAGAGCAGCACGAATAAGTGAAGCAAGCTTTTGAACCATAAAATAACATAAAAAATGTAGCTATATATTGAAAAGTAGGTGGTTGAAAAGAAAGAAAAAAAACCAATCTGAAACAATTTTTTTTTTTTTTGGCACAGCGCAGGGAGAAGAAACTATAAGGCAAAAATAGAGAAGCTTTCACCTGAGAGCCATTCAAATCCTGAAGAGCATTTCCATTAGCACGGTACTCATGCATTATCCAATGAGTTCTTTTTCCATGGGGAGCTCGTCCCTCATAGAAAACCAGTGTTTTCTTCGTACCAATCAAAGACCTACGAGACTTTGATTTGATTGTTCGGTCCTTTCCTGTTGCTTTCCAGTAACCAGCTTCAGTAGCTCTATTAGATCGCCGCCCATTTGGGTACTTCCTATCACGGGGGCAGAAGAAGAACCACTCTGGATCTTCAGTTTTAATTATGGACTTGCCTAGAGGGAGAAACATAAGTGTATCAACATTGGGTAGAATAAAAAAATGCAAGAAGCCTATGGCACATACTCAGAACATCAAAAATCACAAATAAAAATATATGAATTGGTAAAATGGCACATATTTCCAGTGTCAGCCATCCAAAACTGGGAAGCAATCGAAGAACCATGTAAAAATCCAGGACAAAGGATAAATTCTCATTCATCATGCGACAGATGTCCCCCTTCCCCTCCCTTCCAAACCTAAAGGGAAATTTTCGTTTTTTTTTGTGTGTGTACCGTTTTGGCACAAAGATCTTTACAAAAAATATAAGAAATAGAACAACATGTTGGTGCCTAAGATATCCAGAATTCAGCTACATATCAGAACAAAACTAAAAAGGAAAATTTATCAAATTACACTAAAGTGGGTAATTTCAAACAGCACATAAATGACACATCAAAGTGGGTTTTGAGATTTATCAAATTACACCTGGGGCAAAATTTTACGTAGTTCAAATTTTATGTGCATTTTGATAAATTTACCGACTAAAAATAATGAAATCTATCCCAGTATTCATAAACAAAACCCAAACTCCCCAGCTCAGATAATTGAAGCAAGATAATAAACAAATTTCGTGATAGATGAATCCCAAAACCCCAAATTCAGTTCAATCTAAAATAATTTAAGTTTCAGTGTTTCATGATATCTAAACAAAGTTAGGACCAAAACTTACAATCTATCTGCTCACAATATCTAAACAAAGTTAGGACCAAAAACTACAATCTATCTGCAACTCTCAGCATAAAGATCACCACAAAAACAGATATATGAAATTACCAGGTAAATCCCATGGCTCACACTTGCACATGTCAATCTCTGGTATAACATCCACACCCCCTCCTCCATTAATCTTCCTTATAAGGTAGTACGAAACGAGTTCTTCATCACTGGGTCGAAACCTGAAGCCAGGGGGTAAACTCTCCAAAGAAACTGCAGCCATCCTTTAATAGAAGAAAAAAAGAAAAAAAACCTAAAGGATTTTCTTAAATGGAATCCAAAAAGCTCATATTTTTCCTAAGTAATACTTCAATAGAATCCAGGCATCGGTTTGTCACAGTTCAAACTTTATTTGATGCCGAATCCAGGGAATAGAAGTTTCAGGGAAGCTGGTAAAAAACTGAGAGAGAATTACACAAGGAATTCGTCAGTGGAAGATGAGCACCTGAGTATCAGCCCCTTCAGCCCTTCACAGTATCAGTCCCTTCAGTTCCTTCAGAGAGAAGAAAGGTGGGTGGCTTTGGTAAAGTTTATGATTGAGCGCAGTGGAAAATAGAGAGAGAAAGAGCGCAGTGGAAAATAGAGAGAGAAAGTCTCTCTCGCTAAATACCGGAGGAACAGTGAAGCGGGTGTGAGGCCGTACATACCGCGTGGAAGCAATTACCACGAATGCGAGATGCCATCCCTTTTTTCCTTATTTACGTATTGTGCCCCTCTAATGGAAATTACCTGAAAACTACTCGCCTGCTGACGACGACGACGAAATAAACGTGTCAAAGTGGATGGAACATGAAGGGTGGTACTGCACAGTTTAGGATTATTATAAGAGGGATGAGGTTTCCCATGATACCTAGGCCCTATGAAAACAAAATGAATCATCACCTCAAATCTTCATTCAGAAAATACTTCCGGCGACAGAAATATCTATGAGTTCTAAAATCAATTTCCACAATGAACAATAACATTTGAAATTCAAAAACTAGTATCAGATCTTGTGGATATGTAAATACTTATTTTAAAGGTAAAATAGACTGTTTAGATAGTTTGTTACAATATACGCTATTTTTACAGTTTAAAATCTTAAATTTTTTCTACTACTATGATGTTCAAGTCGAGATGATTATCAATGTAGAGGTTTTTTATTGCTTGATTTGTAATTTTCAATGAATTATAAGGTTAGGACGTACTTATTTTGATAAGATTGCAGTCCTATCCAACCATTTTCCTTATAAGATTTGCCACGAGCCATTAAGTGACTAGGTTTTTGGTGAGGCCACGGCCTTCTTGGCAGTTGAGTAAGAGATGATTCCTTTGTAAATTCCTTGAAAAAGGTGAAAACAAGGGCTACGTTTTATGTACAAAAAATAGTCGCATCTCAAATCATATCAAAATTGGAGTTTTAGTATAAAAAAAGAGTAATGATCTTGAGACTTTCCCACATCTATGTGTGTAGGACTTTATAGGATCACTATTAAATTTAGCATAGATCTCTAGAAAAGTCAAATCTCATACGCATATGATAACTAAGTCAAGTCTCACACTTATGTGATAACTTTTTTATAGATTTGTGCTAAATTTAATGGTGATCCTTTAGGATCCTACACATATGGGTGTCGGAGGGTCTCATAGAATCATTACTCATAAAAAAAAACCATCAAATTGTTCATCTTTGACTAGTAAAAAAGTAATGATTTTAAGACCTAAAAATAATGTACATTGTAACAGATCTAGACAGTTAATTTTTTAGCACTTGTTGTTTATAATGCAAAATCAAATAGATCTTCAGAGGAAGATCCCTCGGATATGAACACCACAAACTGATTTTAAAAAAGTGATAGAGAATGTGGGCAAAATCGAATTCTGATATGTAGCCAGATCTACTCAGAAATGAGCCGATCTGCTATCATATCAGTGGTAAAGCCAGCATAGATCCGAAATATGAAACACTGAATAAAAAGCAATAACTAACTATTTCTAATTAAAATGTAATAAAAACATAAAAGAAATAAATAAAAGAGTAAGAATCGATACCAAACCGGACCAGATGGCCTGGGACTCCTAAGCTTTCGAAGGCATGTCCGTATCAGAACCGTTGTCCTCTTTGTCTCTCTTTCTCCAAGTGTTGACCAGGCGTTAGCCTGGCTGAGTGGTTTTTCTGATCTAAAGATAGCTTAGAACTAGGGTTTCTTAGGTCTAGGATTTTCTTTCTCTGGGCTCTCTCTCTAACTTCTAGCCTCCCACGTCCCAGCTCCTTTTTTTTTAACCTACATGTCCCACCATTTTAAGAGGTGTCCCTAGTCTCCCACGTCCCACCTCCTTCCCAAAAAAGGTACGTCAGTTTTATTTTTCTTAGAGACCTAATAGGGATGTAGAATAGATAACTAGATGGATTTTCTAGGTGTTGATTAGATAACTACTAAAGTTGGGGATTTGCTAGGTGTAGACTGGATAACTACTAAAAGCTGGGGATTTGCTAGGTGTGGAATAGATAACTACTAAAACTAGAAGATTTGCTAGGTGTGGATCATAAGAGGGAACCATGGATTGTGGTGGTCTATGTTAGGGGTCTACTGAAATAGTGTGGTCCTATGGGTTCAGAAAAACCATGGAATTTGCCAATTTTAAAATGGGGTGTTTATAGTTACCCCTCCTCTTTGGCACTCCATGTCCTTCGAGGGACAGGTGAGTAGTACAGAATTAGATACTCTTTGGCACTCCCTGTCCTTCAAGGGGCAAGTGAGCGGCAAAGATAATGTAGACATTTTAACTTTCATTCTGACATTTGGTGGTCAAAGGCACAACAACTATCCCTCCAAGACATTGCGCTCCTCGCTCACCTACCTAGGGCATTTTTATCTTAGGATTTTCGGTGTGAGATGTCGGTGAGTTACACAAGCTTGAAACTCGAGTTGGATTTTCTTGTCATGCCACTTAACTTCAGGCGTTTTCACAATTTCAAATTTTTAAACATGACATTTTCTTTGATTTCCTTAGGGTTTCCTAATGTCGTCTATAGGTTTTACTTGTTTTAAGAAAATGTTTACCTGGTCAATTATGAAGAGAGATGAAGCGGCAACGCGGTAATCATCATATGCGGTTGTCCAAACTCCTTTATTTTTAAAAGTCTTTTTAAAATAGAACCCAAAACTTGGACAGGTCACAATTTTAATAAAGAAAATAAAGTTTTTGAAAACACAAGGCATATAATGAAAATTTTGAAATGAGAAAGATATTTCGAAAAACAAATTTTAGTTAGCAGTTTTAGCTCTTGCACCCATAGAGCCCTCTAAGCAGTTTAACGCCATGCAACGATAGACAGGGTCGTTGGAAGTTATACTCATACAACCACGGATTGTTGTTTTTTTTGTTTTGTTTTTTTTTTTTTTAAGAAAATTTTTGAAATCAAATTTGTAAGATTTTTTTTTTTTAAATGTGGGTCTTACAGTTTAACCACTTGTGACCCCTTTGGTGGACCCTATATGAGCGTGTCGGCTCCTTGCTTGAATTTTCAGGATGAGGAATCATAAAGTATTTATTTATAATCGAACCACAACTCTTGTATTTCAATTCAAATGAGTGTTCTTTGGAGCTTTCGAGCAAAACATAGTTTTGAAAATATAGGATACTGCCCCTGTGTGTTTAGAATCTCTTTGGATTTTCGATTTCGTTCCTCCACCATTCACCTTTCGAAGCTCCAGATGATCGAGGACCTTAACAATGTTCTATCAGGCTAATGCTCATTGATTTTTCTCTTGATACCATTTTGACCCAAGAAGAAGGAAGAGAAGATGTTTAGAGAGAAAGGACTTGGGAACATATAAGGAACGAGAGAACTTCTTTCTTTTATCTCATCACCCCGGGATTCCTTTCGAATTTTCATCTCGGTGACATTTTTTCCAATGCTTGGGAATCCTTTTGGATTTTAGCCCAAAACATATGAGATTTTCTATTTATTTTCTCATCGCCCCGGGGTTCCTTTCGGATTTTCATCCCAGTGACATTTTTTCCAACGCTTGGGAATCCTTTCATATTTTATCCCAGAAGATGAGATTTTCTTCTCCCTTTTTTTTGTTTTATTTTTTTTTTTTGTAAGAAAAAGAAGATAAGAATGACAAAGGAATATGAGGGGGAAGAAGAAGAGTCAATGGTGCCCTTTTTTTTTTAGCAATTCGCCTTAAGATCATTTACAAATTCGATCATCTTTCCCTCGTCTAATATCGGTCTTCCTTTGATTTCCCTTGACCTAGGTTGGCATCTAAAATCTCTTTGACAATGGTTGTTGAATCTCCGTTGAACTTTTCCTTTAAACTGCTCCACTTGAACTTTGATTTTTGGACTAAAAATCACTCTCACTTTCATAATCCCTCAGTCTTTTGTATGGATGGATAGGCTCATCAGGGTTTTCCCGTTAATGGAGTACTTGAAGTGTGAGGCATGAATGCCTCATTTGGTTATTTGCAAAGGACGAGTGATCACCCAACTCCTTTTCGGTAATCTTTTTCATTACAAATTTTGAATTTTTTTTCAGAGGTTAACTCCGTGGTAGGCTCCTTCTCAGTGCTCGAGTCGGGCTTAGGTGAGACTCTCGTACAAGAGGAGTGGTTGAATTGGTATTAGATGGCCTTACGACATGTTGGGAGTCAACGACGAAGGGTTCAATCTCATAAAGTTCCCCTGTTGTATTAAATGACTTTATGACATGTTGAGAATCAACAAATAAGGATTCAATCTCATTAGTTGGCTCTATTATATCCTCTTCATGAGAGAAGTTTGCCCCTATTGAATATTTTAATGGGGTTACCCCTACAGGGCTTTCTGTTCAGTTGAGAACTTGTTATTCACATGATGAATTCTCTTGATATGGTGTTGCTCCGATTATCGGAGTCATGTTGTTAATGACTTTTAAAGAGCTTACCTCTTGAAGAGGTAATATGGTCGGATTTTCAATATCCAATTCTTGATCCCAGATTAGTGGACCATTCAAGAACTCTTGTTAAAGTGGCCCAGGTGGGCCCCTTAGAATTTTCAAAGGTTCGAGCTCTATCAACTTCAGTGAAAATGTCAAATCTTTGGGAATAATCAAATTTGGGCTCTTTGCTTCTCCATCATCTATAACTGGGTTCATCTTGAGAGGTGACTCAGTTAAATCTTTTAAGCTTGGCTCCTCATCCCATATAAGTGGGTTGTTGGTGGCCCAGATGGGCCCCTTAGAATTTTCAAATGTTCGACTTCTTTTGATATTGGAGGCGTTGGCCTCTTGTTTGGAACCGTAGTGGGAGACTTTGGGGTGTTGATCCCTTGTTTGGAAGATGTTCCCTTCTCGTTGATCTGAATTACATCAATTTCTAACACGTCGTCCACATCATATTGATCCCTCTTAGCTGGCTCGTCAAGGTTTTGAGGTGAAGGGCTTCCATTTAGCACTTGCTCATTTGCCCCCTCACGAGTTATTGTCCCAGAATTGTGGTCTTTCTTGCCGTCATGGGCTTGGGAGTCCATAGCTTCAAAACATTGGTTTAGCTTATGCTCGAGTTCATATTTCTCTTGCGAGTTTGATTCGTTGTCATACACGTATGAACCATTTATTGTGTTAACTTGGAGGTACGGGTTGAAGGGTTCATAT